CGCAAATCAACACTTGGACTCGCTGTCGGAGCTTTCGGCCGCCTTCTTCGTCTTCCACAGCGACTCCTTCAGCCTGTCCATGAGGCGCTCCAGGATCCACTCGCTCTCCTCCTGCCCGCCCATAAGGGGACTGCGGCGGCCGACCCAGGACCACTTCAGGCGGTCCTCGTCGTGCGCCCCCGGAGACTCGTGCACGTCGCTCTCCTCGCCGAGGTCGTCCACCGCGTCTTCCGGGCGGCGGTCCTCGGTTGCCTGGGCGTACGTCTCGTCCTCGCCCTCGCGCGACCGCCCGCGGTTTTGGTGCCGCCGTCGGTGGTGATGGTCGTGGGGATGGTGGGTGTGCACGCCCTTCTTCTTGCGGTGCTTGTGCTTCTGCTTAGGCCGCGCCTTGCGATGCGTGTCCGGGTCGCGCTCGTCCTCGCCGATGAGGCCCAGGTACCACGCCCACTCCTCAAAGGTGTAGCGCCGGGGCTTAGCCTCGCGGACATGCTTTGCGACGTTCTGGATCTCGGATATGAGGAGGAGGTGCAGGTCTTGCCCCTCGGGTAGGTTGTCGAGCCTGTTGCGGACGACGGAGAGCGATCGGCGACCTCGCGTGCTCATAGGTTGGAGGTTGGTTGTGCTTGGAGAATCGGACGTACCCGGCGGCGAGTCATCCTGACTGACAGAGGTTGTGGTGGTGGCTCTGTCATTGGGGTTGGAGTTTGTATTCGATAGCCGGTCCTTGAGCTTGAAGCCCTCCGACGATCCGTGGTGTTGCTTCTCGACGTCTCGGGCTATACCGTCGACGCTCTTGAACGCTGCACCAAAGGTGAGCTGATTTGCGACGTACTTGATATTACCAACGAAGCCCTCGTCGCCCGGCAGAATGGTGATGTTTCCCAGGGTGATGGTGGCGTCGCGCACGAACACGACCACCGTGTCTCCGGCGTTGGAGATGAGGACCGTCATGGTCGGCAGCGCCATGAGAGACCAGAAGACGAAGAAGGATTTCCCGGCGTTCGACTGGGGCGTGACGTCGCCGTACCCAATCGTGATGAGCGACACGAAGCAAAAGTAGACCCCGTCAAAGTACGTCCAGCCTTGGTACTTTCCCTCGCACTTCATGAAGATGAAGGCGCCGAGAAGCCACAACACGAGCCATGTTCCCGTAGATATGCCCATGGCGACCCATTTCCTCCGCAGCGATGCCTTTTCCTGGATCTTGCGCATCAGCTCAAACTCGGTGCGGCGCCGCTCCAACTCGCCGGCCGGTGGCTCGTCGAGCGTCGGCTCCCGCTCCAGGGGCGTCAGAACATCGTCCTTGCCCTTCTTCGTTATGGTCCGGATGACGCGGCGACGGTTCTTCTCCTCCATCCGGGCGTCGAGTGCGCGGCGGCCACGCTCGAGGATCATGCTACGGATCGAGCTGATGACCAGACCGAGGCTGATAACGCCGATGAGGGCATAGGGAAACAGCAACGCCCTCGCCAGCGTCGTCGACGCGGTAAAGTCGCCGAAGCCGACGGTGAAGAGCGTGACATCGGCAAAGTACACGCCGTCTAGGTAGTTCCAGCCCTCTATGGTCGAGAAGATGAGGGCGCCGAGGAGCAGGTACATGAGGAACATGATGGTCTGCAGCATGAGCGTTCGCTGGCTAGGGGTTAGGTTGAAATCTTTGCTGTAGCGCCCGGAGCAGGCGCCCAAAAAGGTCACGAGCATGAGCGAGGCGTCGACAAAATAGAGGATGGCGGCCCAGATTCCATAGTAGAAGGCCTGTGACCAGATGATCTCGCTGGCGGGTACACCGTTCAAGTCGTCGTCCAACGGGCCCGCCGCGGTAGCATTGAGGGCCATTAAGCAGATGGCCGAGATGTACCTGGGAAGGTCAGCGGGATGGGTCTATACGATATGCACTGGGGGCCTCTCACCATCCAACAATCGTGATGGGCTGCGCGATGGAGAAGCGGACGCGTTTTGTCATGTTCAGGAGGAGGAACATGTTGGAGACGACAGCCATGGCAAGCTGAACGGCGTTGACGGTGGTGAGCCTGGCGCATCGTGTAAGTCGTGACGGTCAGCGTGGCGTCGGCGCAGCATCCACTCACCACACGGGATCCGGGAGAAAAGTGGCCTGGTCAACGTCTGTGCCAGGCGGCCAGTGTTGTCTCCATTGACGCACCAGCGCGCAGATGCTGAAGGCAGAGGCGACGGGGCCGAGGGTTCCGGCGATCATGGGAAAGGCCGACGACGCGAACCACCAGCGGCTGGAAGGCAAGGCTGTCAGTGGAGGGCCATGAGAGCAAGGGGGGCGGACAACTGACCTCGGCGCCAGGTGGACTTCGTCATTTTGGAAGCGAGACTCGGGCGACACGGTGTGCTCGAGCTCTTCCTCGGCGGCCGCCGCATGCTCGTCGATGGGGCCTTGCAGGCTGCCATCATCCATGGTGTTGTTCGAGGGGCACAGGTGCGAGGGTCGAAGCAGGGAGTGAAGACTGGCAGTCAACCTCGGCAGCTTCGGACGGAATGGGTGCTAAGACTGCTTGGTCTGGTGGGCTAGGTGGTCAGGGTCCTCGAAAGTCGGCTCGACAGGCCACGAGGTGATGCATTTACGAGGTCGGATCGAATGGAGATGCCCAGATTGGGATGCCAAGAGGTGAAACAGGAGCGAGCGAGAGGCGAGTCGTGACAAGTCCACGTCGTAGGGAGAGATGGCGTAGCAATGCAGGGAGGGAATAAAGGGCAGAGAGCAGAAGTTTGCTTGTTAGATCCAGTCAAAAGTGTATCTCGACGCCCCGTCCTGGAACGAGTTGGTCTGGCCAGCCGGCAGCAGGGCAGATGGCAGCCACCGACTCGAACGCCCCTCCCCATGACGTCGTGTCGCCTGGACCGGCTCGACGTGCTAGAGGCGCCTGCAGTTCACCGTAGCCCACTGAAGTGGTGTCGAGTCAATGCCCGGACCCGACGTCCACGGGGCGCTGGCGTCTGGGCGCAGCGGGTGATCGCCGCCCGGGGCAGGAGAGCCTCAGTGCGCACGCCGGCGGCACAGCAGGCGGCGCCCGCTGGAGAAGCCGCTGTGGCCGGATTGGACGGCGCCCGCCAGTGGCGGCCGACTGCCTCACTGGGGGGGTCGCGTGGTCCCGATTGGCAGCCCGCCGATCCACGCATCGCCTACCTGCCTGGCGGGCATAGCGGGCACTCGGGCTTCTCCATCCAACTAGCGCCAACTGCCAACCTGGAACGACTGGAGGCGCCCTAGTGTCAAGGCTCGTCGCATGTGCCAACGCCCGTCCAGCGGCCAATCCTGACCCCGATTCACCTCGCCCGTCACACCTCGCCAGGCCGGTGGCAGACGCGTTTCGGCACCCGGCACACAAATCTTCTCCTGACGTCTGCGATCTGCTCGCTGAGATCGTGATCGAAATCGCCGACGCGTTTCCCCCGTCGACGGCCCCTCATCTGCAAACGCGGCGCTCTGATCACCGGTCAGTCCTTACGCTCCCTCAACGGCCGTGCCTTGCTGATGGCTCGCGCCTTCAGGTCCGTCGGCTGGTGGTGTGGGAAGCAGACACACATGCATGAGATCGACTCCGCCGCCAATGCCCACGGCCACTTGCGGGGATCATGCGAAGATGGGCTGCCGCGCTGCGCGTGCCGTGGCTGGGAACGTGCCGCAGGGCGTACAGCTCAGGCTCCGGCAGTCGAGCTGAGAGAGTCGCCGTGAGATGCGGTTCCGCCGGCCATGTGTCGATCGAGTTTGTTTGGCCTCCTTTGCCGAATCGCATCGTCCGAGGCTGACGTGAAGCAAGTCTATTCAACGACCCGGGATCCCGCCCCGAGTCGGCGCTCCTGATCCACTTCCCTGCCTTTGCAACTGACCCGGCCGCAGAGCCTGTGCTGCCCAAGTTCCTGGAGCACCTGCCCGTGGCCAGCATCAACTACCGATGGCGGCCAGGCTCTCATCCCGTCGGTCGAGATGACGCCAACGTGCCCATGTTTTGGCCGACACCGATTCACGACACTGCCTTTGCCTATGCCTGGCTCGTGGAGAACCTGGCCCCGCCCAAAAACGGCCGGCGTGACATTTACGTCTATGGGTCTCACCTCGGCGCCGGTCTCGCGACGTCGCTGGCTCTCACCGAGGCGAACGCTCACTCGAGGTTCGGCGTTCGAGGTGTCGTGGCGTACAACGGCGTCTACAACTGGACCATGTTTCTGCCCGACCACAGAATCAACAAACCGCCCAAGCGTGGGCGGACGGCAGCTTCTGCGACGCAAGAGCTCATAGAAGGGTCACATATTCACAGGCTGCGGGAGGAGATGCCCGGCTTGTTTGATGATCCGTCGAACCTGTTTGACGCCTTTGCCAGCCCCAGCCTGTTCTTTCACAGCCCGGGGCTGCACGTTTCCCCGTCCTTTACCATGTCGATGGACGACTTGGCCGCGATCAATGCCATGACATCTGACGACGACGACGAGCCGCTCAAGGCACAAAAAGCGCCACGGAAATCGCACCTCATATACCCCCCACGCAAGTCGACACTCAAGATACCCGAAACACTTCTTCTGTACGATTCTCAACCGCAGACCACCCCACCACTCACAAAGACAGGACGGCCCAGGAAGAGGGTCAAGGCGCCCGGCAACTCGTTTGAGTCGCAGGCCGGCGAGCTTGTGGAGCTGATGCGGCGCAGCGTCGACGTCGTCGAGCTCAAAGAGCGCAGCAAATGGGACGAGGACATGCAAGACAAGGAGGACGAGAAGTACCGCCGAGTCCAAGCGGTACACGTCGGGCCAGAGACGGACGACACCGAGCTCCCCCATGCCGGACAGCAAATTGTGCTCTCCTGGCTGCGGGATAAAATGTAATTTACCCGAGGACAGACGAGTGAAGCGTGTCGATCGTCACTCAGGCAGATGAGTGAGGCACATTCGTACATACACGGGGGCACGCGCTAACGAGGAGGCGGGTGGGTCACGCAATGGCCTTCTTAAGCAAGAATAGGCGTCCAGTCCCCACCGGCCAAATGGTCTAGTGGTATGATTCTTGCTTTGGGTCCAGCTCAACTGCAAGAGGTCCCGTGTTCAATCCACGGTTTGGCCCAAACTGTTCTTTTTGCCATTTCGACGTCTTGAGGAGGCACGGGGCCTGCATTTTTGCCGGCTGCTTCGCCTGACGCCAACAGGCCCTCGGCGCCCAGATGAGATGATGTTTTGGCTCCCGGGACGTGCGGCTGTCTGTACAACACTGCATGCAAGCTCATCGATGACCTGCATCGAACTGTCGGTGGCGGCGCCGGAAATTGCAGGGTCCCTCGCACCCTGGACCGCGATGAAGGTCCTCGACAAGTGGCGCCGCCGACAGACCTGCTTAGCCGTGTGAGAACGTGGACCAGTAGGTGGGCTTGGATCGCATCGCGTTGTTTTCGAGAAGTAAGCCATTGGTGGCCACGGGCACGCATGGCTGTGCTTGAAGCTGTTGGGCAGATGCGTCACTCCACAACGGAACGGCGCTTATACACGGCCGTGAGGGTAGATAGACCTGTGGTGCTCGAGGGGCCACGGCCTCGGACGAGACGGGGCAATCCTGGCGGCCTCCCGCTCGTGCAGGGTTATACGAGTAATAACGATTCACTCTGGTGCGAACCAAGGCAGTCCAGTCCATACCCGGTAGGACTAACGGCCATGAGTGAGAAAGTAAACCTGGAAGACGCCCTGCTCAGCGGCCAGGATAATAGTACCAACTGTGCATTCCAGTGTCGATGGAGCTCCCTTGGGGCAGCGCCTCCTCGTCCAAATTTAGCAGCTCCGTGTCTCGTCATTTGTTATATCCCGGCCATTCCGTTTGATGTCGCCGGACGGGCGGGTGGGCATGGCTGCATGGCTGCATGGCATCGCTGGCTGGCGGACTCGCTCCAGTCGTTGGTCGCGCCCACCGCCGCAGCAGCGCAGCCAGTGCCGTACAGCCCTCGAGTGCCACCACCGTCGGCGCGTCTCGCCCCAACCACGGCCCCTGGAAGGCGTTCACGAGGACCCTGGTCCCACCCAAAACGGCGGCCGCCCAGTGGCTGGGCCGCCGCTGGCTGCTGGTGCTACTGGTGCCGCTGCAGCTGCTGCAGCTGTCAAAAGTATATTTGTACCGACTACCTACGCGATGGGGGGGAGCTTGGGAGCGGCCTTGCAGGGAGGCCAACGCGAGACGTCAGACGGGCCCGCTCTCGCGACGAGCTTGCCTGTGCCGTCTCAGCGGACCTTGGAACGACATGCAGCCCTGGGCCGTGTTCGGTGATGGACTGCGGCAACGCGTGCAGCTGGGGCACTCATCAAATTGTGCAGGCAGGCCGCGTAGAAGGCAGCGGAGGGCACAAGTTGGCCGTGGTGATTTGATGGCCGGCGGGTGCAGGTGCTGCTCGTCGCCCTCCAGCTCCTTGCTCTTGCGCAAGTACAGGTACAGGTAGGGGGTACCTCGCTGCGGTGGCCGGAAGGCACGGTGGAGCTGCCTCACCTGCCGCTGGCTGGCTGTACCTGCCGCGGGTCACGCACCCTCCCACCCGCTGAGCTTTCCCCAGATGCGGTAGCCCTGGAGCTCTCCGGCACGAGCGTCCCTTCAGCGGCCTGCCTTTTCCTTCCCTGCCTGCGGTGACCTCTTCTTCTCTCCCCTTTCCCCTCTTCACTCCTTCATCTGTCTCGTCTCGTCTTCTCCTCTTCTCGACCCTCTTCTCCCTAGAAAATCTTGCCTTGACCAAGCACGCTGCCGTCTCTCCCCTCTTCGCCAGCAGCATCGTCGGGTTTTTATCTGCGCGCAGAGGCCCGTCCCCATTGTTTGTTAGAGGTGAGTCGCCAGCTGCCTGCCGCGCGCCGCCCGCTCTCGGCTGTCGTTCGCCCCCAACTGTGGATGCCCGCTGGGGCCATCCTTTGCCGTCGGCTGTCCCCAACGGCACTCGGCCGCTGGGCCAAGACGCCGCCGGCTCTGGCGCGCCACGAGGCGAGCTCCACGTCTGTCTGACAACGTGCTGACTCGGATTGATTGCCAGAACATCATACCCTTTTTCCTTGGGCAGAAACCAGATACAACTGTTCAAGATGCCTGGCATTCGTGAGTGGCTCATTGCTTGTTTTGTCTCTGGCCCTCCTCTCCCGATGCCTGTTCTGACGCAGTGTCTGCAGCTCCCGGAGCTCTCGACAACCTCAAGGCCAAGCTCAAGGCCGTCTTCAAGAAGAAGGGCGAGAAGAAGCCCGAAGACAAGCCCGCCGACGCGAAGCCGGCTGACGCCGCCGCGACCACGACGCCGGCCGCTCCCCCTACGGAGACCAAGCCTAGCGAGCCTGCTCCTCCTGGTGAGTTTCGCACGCCTGCTCGCCATGCTCCCCGTGCACGAGAGCCTGTCTGACCCTTTCTCAGCCGAGCCTACGCCTGCGACTGAGCCTGCCAAGGCTGAGGCCAAACCTGAGACTGCCGCAGAGGCCGCTCCTGTGACAGACGCAGCCAAGGCTGCTGAGACGACTCCGGGTGAGATGACCCGGGCGGCCGCGTCACGTTCAAGATTCTAACATGAACCAGTTCCCGCTGAGCCTGTCAAGGCCGAGGCTGCGCCCACCACTGAAGCCGCTACTGAGGCCGCCACCGCCGAGGCGAAGAAGGAGGAGGTCCCTGCGGCCCCTACCGCCGCCGCCGCCGCCGCTCCCGCCCCCACCGCATAAGCGCGGCTCCCCGTCTGAACTCCAACATGGAGGGCGACGTTCAACGCCCAGAGGAGGCCCGCCTTGCAGCAGCACTTCACTCTAGATTGTCTGCTGGGTGGGGCCGGGCTTGGTTCCCTTGAGGTCTGGCTGTGTTTGTTTGTTGGTGCGCTGGATACCCCGGGCAGAGGAGTGGCGGATGTGCTTGAACTTATACCCCACACATCACCGTCTCTGCGGTCGCTGCGATGGTTGTTTCTACTTAATGGACTGGTAGTCTAAATTCATGGTTCCGTTATGTGCGCCGTCGCCTATGTGTCTAAGTATGCTGTGATGTCTGCAGAGGCAGCACGGCTGGTCATCAGAAATGGGAGTGGTGCATGCACGAAGGCTGCCCGCAAGCGCTGTCTCCCGTTTATAACTATGTTGAGATGCCACCCCCGGAGTAAAACTTTTATCAGGCATCTCTCGCCCACGGTGCCTTGGTGACTGTGATCTGCGCGGCTGTTGAGCTGGGGTCGGGTTTGTTTCCGGGCGGCGGTCTCATCCCCAGCGTACCGCTTCTCGGCCCTGGCGGGTTCGTCCGCGTATAGGGGATCCCCGGGGCCGAGGCTGGAGGCATCCTGGTAGCTTGGGCCCAAGGCGCGGCGGTCCCGGTCGTGGGCGGTGGCGGCGGCATCGGGGCGTTGCCGGAGGCGGCGGCAGACGCCATGGGCTGGTTGGCCATGTGCACGCTCTGCTGGGGCGCCGCGGCGTCCGGGTCGAGGTCCCAGGAGAAGAGGGAGCCAAAGGGAAAGTGCTGGACGACGGGGAACTTGGACAGGACCTCTGCGTTGAACATCTTGATCATGCCCTTGTTGATCTTGCCCCAGCCGTCGCGGATGCCGGAGACGTCGAACAGGATGGGGGAGTGCTCCCAAAAGGGGCCCGTCTTGACGTCGTTGATGAAGCCGACGGCGGAGAAATACATGTTGGAGCGGCGCTGGTCGTCGACCACGGCGCGGTTGGTCACGTCGCTGGGCTTGGGGGCCCCGGGGACGGAGCCCTCGAGGGGCATGGGGTCGGCCGACGAGGCGCGGACGGGGCGCGTGAGCTGCGCGGAGCCGAAGATGTAGGGCACGAAGGCGTGGTCGTCGAGGCCCCATACGCCGTGGGAGCCGGCGGGCTCGAGGTTGTATGTGAGGATGAGCTTGCGCACGACGCGGAGGTATCTGTGAATGTTAGCTGCACTGTGGACGTAGGTGAGAATGAGAGTGTGTCTGGACGTACGGCTCGATGACGTTGAGGACAATCTCGCGCTCAATGGCGCCGTCCTCGCTGTTGCCGTCCTGGAAGAAGCCCAGCTTCCAGAGGCAGCCGACAAACGCGACGAAGCTGAGCTCGTGGCCGGTGCCGTAGTCGAGACGCTGCGGGCTGCCGAACGCGCCGAGGAGGTAGCTGCCAACCTCGTCCCTGGCTGCGCCGCCACTCACATCGAGGGCCTCGCCGAGGAGGCCCGCGCGCAGCAGGCCGTCGAGCCTCTCCTCGACGAGGGCGTGCCACGTGCGGAAGCTGACGTTGCCGAAGCGGCGCGGGCCCGGGTCCGGGGGCGCCTGCGCGACGAGGGCGTTGATGTCGGCGAGGAGCGTCTGCAGCGCGCGGATGGACGGCACGGACGTGGGCGAGTCGGGGACGAGGGGGAAGACGCGCGCCGCCGCCGGCCGGGATGTGCTGGTGCTGGTGCCGGCAGCTGAGGTCGAGGATGAGGAGGATGTCGGCGCGGGGGCGTCTTCTGGCAGGCGCGGACACAGCGCGCGGTTGAGCTGGAGGATAAAGACGCCAATGTCGCGGTAGGCGAGCGAGGCGAGGAAGCGCGCGACGTCGGGCCCCTCGTTGATGCGCTTGACGGGCTTGACAAAGGCCGGCGGGGCGCTCGCGTCGATGCGTTGCAGGGTAGGGAGGGGGAGGGGTGAGGGCGACGCGGATGGCGGGGTGGCGCCCGCGGCGGAAGCCATGGTGGTTTGGTTCCTCGCTGCGTCTGTCAGCGAGGCGGCGAAGGCTTCAATTGAATGCGCGTCGTTGATTTCGAGGGAACGTAGCTGATCGGTGACAGGAACGCTGAACAGGATGAACGTGGGCTGATGTTGCGTGAGCGGGAGTGAAGATGGATCGCGGCATCGCGTTGATGGAGCTCTCGCGGGGTGATGTGACGTGACGTGGATGTTAGTCAGCAGACAATGTGGTGGACGCAGTCGCGATTCCACGTTTCACGCCTGGGCCCAGCACTTTTCGCTGACATGTTCTCTTAATCATGACGCTCGAGATCTAGGAATATTCTTGCGGTCCCCCTCATTGGAAGCCACTGTCCAGAGACCGGTCTCCTCATCCCGTTTAGCGCATCCACACGGGAGGCCGTTCCTCCCCCGTGTGCGGATGAATGAATGT